CTTCCAGAGGTGATGGCTGCAGTAGAAAGGAAGCCAAGGTCATTGGCTGAGAAGATATGGAGGAAAAGACTGCTTTGTTCACTCTGCCCTTCCTCCCTAACCTTCCTTGAACCTCTTCCCTCACGTTTTCATGTAGGAGAGCCGTACTAATATATATATACACACACACACACACATATATTCTACTTAAGTTTTGCATCACCTAATGCGGTTGGTCTCTCCACAGTATTTAAATGAGACCTTTTGTATTAAGCATTTTATGTGTTTCTCCCCAGTAGGTACACTGTAGTCCTAGGCAGAAAACCATCCTATTTAGTGTTGTACCTTTTGCATACATTGTTTACATTCTACTGCGATTGCCCCCATTGGTCTCCAACCATGAGAGTGATCTCCCACTTCCCCCACATCCCCTTTAGTCTTTTCATATACTTTTTCCTTTTTTTCCCCATATAATAGCAGTGGTGTCTCCCCTTTGTTTTTTAATTGTGCAATAACCATTTTTTGATTATCATGGGAAGTATGCAGTTTTGTTATTTAGAGTTGAGCTCCAGTGATTTCTTGTCAACATTGAATACTGACTTTCAGGGCTTCTTAGGTCTGTCCTGAACCCTTGCATTAGAAATGGTCTGATCTATTATTCCCTTGTTTCTTTTGCCAATAATAATACTGTGACTCTACTCTTCTAAGTTCTAGATATGCACATAAGCAGCTTCTTAAGCACATTTCCACTGAGGTATTCCAGACCCTCCGACTCAGTGTTTTAGTACCATAAGAAACATGTTAATTTGTATTCAAACATTGCTTCTACATTACTGGTCTTGCATCAAAACTCCACCATTCATAGCAAGAACTCAGTTCCACTAAATATCTTAAATTTGTCTCAGCTTTAGCACCTTTCTTGGGGTTCAGTCTCTCATCACCATCTACTAGATTCTTGGAATGAGAACCCAAATACTCTGCAGTGTCCTCCTCCTCTTTGCTTTCCTATACACTTCTTTCCTGAAGAATCTTCAGAACAAAGTGTCAGACCAGGTGCAGTGGTGCACACTTGTAATCCCAACAGCTGAGGCAGGAGGATAGCATATTCAGAGCCAGCCTCAGCAAAAAGCAAAGCACTAAGCAACTCAGTGAGATCCTGTCTCTAAATAAAATATGAAATAGGGCTGGGGATGTGGCTCAGGGGTTGAGTGCTCCTGAGTTCAATTCCTGGTACCCCCCCCCAAAAAAAAAAGGATCATTTATCCCTGTTTGGAATTATTCTCTGGGTTCTTTATGGCATGTAAGGCCTCTGAATTGCCCTGGCTCATTTGATCAGCTTCAAAAACCTCATCTCCTATGTTTTCTCAGTTTTCATCAAGTTGTTCTGTTTCATTCTCTGAACAGAGCACTTGGGTGCATGACTTTGTTGTAATCCTTTTCAAAAACTATTCCTTTTTTGACCAGTAGTGTCCTTCCTTACATTGGCATTATATGTGCTCTACTTCTATTGAGACCCAAACCAGACATTCCCCTTAATTCCCACTCAGATCCACACATCGTTTTTATCAGTTCCACCTTATCACCATACTAGTTTCTGTCATCTACAAAAATTAAGGTTTGTTTGAACTAGACTGCCCCTTTGAAGAAAGGGAAGATTTTATTTATAAACCCAGCCTGTTAGACAAGTTAATAATATAAAGTTCAGATGTTCACTAAGTGTGTGAATGAATTTGATTTTTCATCTGTAACTAGGAACATATCTAGGAAGTACAGCGTACTTCCAGTTAAAGTGAATTATTGCTCTTCATGCTCTTTTGACCTGGAAACTCAATATGTATTCAATTAGTATGAACAGAATGTCAGCTTTCCTAATAAAGATTGCCTAATAAAACTTGAAGTTCAGATCGCATATCTACCTTTTGCCACCTCATATATTTTTAATTAAATATCTTTTATTATAAAAGTAATATGTGCTCACTGCAGAAGAGGAAAGGGAACTACAGCTAATCCAATAAAAAAAGAAATCTACCATCTACTTCTGGTCCAAAGGCCATTTGGGTCTACAGGCTTAAAAGGAAATCCAGCTTGACACATCTTCCCAACACTATTTACAAAGTAGGGAAGAGGTTTGGGGTATGATCTTTTAAGCAAATCCCAAGGACAAATACCCATATGGGTAAAATAGATGAATTGCGATTTTTTTCTTTATAAAAATTGTGCTGTATAGGAGGTTTTAAGTATATGATTGTCATGTATGTGTTGACCTTGTTAACAGTCTGTATACCCTCAAATGCTTGCTATAAAGGACTTAAGAGGTGCAGTCCTAGAGCCTCAGATTTGTTTTATATAGAATTGTTTCCAGTTTTCTATTTCCTGAACAAGGTTGAGATCATTTTGCATTCTTTGGCCACTCTCAAATTGGTAATTCAGAAAACCAAGTCATGATGAGGAAATTAAGAATGGGACCTTTCCATTGCCCTGTAAGAGTCACCGTTTGCTTTTTGAAGAATACTGAACTTAATTCTTTTGTCATAATAGGTATTTTGAAACCCTCTCCCATTTTCTAGCATTTAAAAATTTTGCCTTTGCCCTTTGAAGCTTATAGAAATGTGCTGGAGTATACACACTGACCTTCAGAACAGTAAACATTGGTCCTTTCAGTCCTTGAAAACAAAACTTTTCATATAAAGCTGATGGAAAAAATAAAGTTTGGTTGCTTTAAAATGCTTCTGTGTAATGAGATCTCTATTAAAAGAAGCTTTAACTGAGTATATACATTTTATGTTGCTTTGAACTAAAGGCCACAGATCTTCCTCTATTCATTTAGAATGAGAGGAAGGACATACCTTAGGTACTTTTGTTTTTATGATGTATATTCAATTATATTTACTTAAAATGCTAAGAAGAATGTTTCGGTCTGCCACTAGATCTCATTTGAGTCTGAAATACAGTCTAGGTGGTGGTCCTATGTGTATTCATTGTCCAGGATTTTCCTAACTACAGACTGAGGGGACAGATTAAAATCTGTCCTTTTGCTGTTACTCAGTAAACTTAAAATTTCCCCAGCCACCAAACTTGACTTCAAATCTTGCTGGGTATTGAGGGAACAGGAGGAATTGATTAAGATCGTAATTGTCAGAAATGATAAAACTGCTCTTTTTGTAAATAAAATATTTAGTGTTAGGACTATCTAAATAAGATGTATGGAATAGTAATTTCAGTAGTTAATAGAGAGGCACTGAACCCATTCTTACTTCATTTGATGTCAAGTGGAAGTGACAGATATCACTGCTATGCATTTTGTAAACCTGAATACTGGGGCTGGGGTTGTGGCTTAGGGGTAGAGGTCTCGCCTAGCATGTGTGAGGCACTGGGTTCCATCCTCAGTACCACATAAAAATAAAACGGTATTGCATCCATCTACAACTAAGAAATAAATGTTAAAAAAAAAAAGACAAGGGTATGTGTCCAAGATCACTCCTGAGAAAGTTTATTTGAATAAGTGTATTTTTGTTTAAGCATTTAGAGGGCATTTTAGTAAGTGCCAAAACTGGGCAGCGTTCATGTCAAAATAGTTATAATGAGTATGGCTCAGTGGTAGACACTTGCCTCAAGTACAACTACCCCAAAAAAGAAAAGTTGTAAACTAGATATCTACGTACACGTTTCAGGTTCACTTCAGTGGTTAAGCCTGACGAAAATTGGATCACGTTATGAATAACAAAAACTGAAGAAGAAATTCTCATTTATTACATTAATTTTTTTATACAGAAATTGTAGAAACATGGAAAGACTTTAGTTTGCAAGTTATAACCTAAAATAACATGATGGGGGTGGGGGGGGAGCTGAAAAACTGGTACTAAAGTATTGAGTCATTTTTCTATTAATTACACAAGCATTTCTATTGCCATTACCAGCTCATAGCATAAACCATAACTTGCTCAAAAGATTTTCTGTAGTACAGTGGTAAATACCATGTTCTGACAATATCTGGAGCACTTTTCAATTATCAAAGTAACTCCGGGGGCTGGGATTGTGGCTCAGCAGTAGAGCGCTTGCCTAGCACAGGCGGGACCCAGGTTCAAGCCTCAGCACCACATAAAAATAAAATAAAGATGCTGTTTCCACCAAAAATTAAATAAATATTTTTAAAATTTCTCTCTCCCCCTCCCCCCTCCCCCCCTTGGGAGTATTTACCTTACATTTGAAAGAGAAGTTGAGGGAGATTTGGTGCCTATTATGTAAGTGGAGAACCAAAACAAATCCTTACTTTTCACTATGATTATAGAAGTTGAATCGTTGAATTTGTGTGACTCTCAGACTAGAATGAGAAGCCCTCATGTAAATGAGAAAGTGAAACTAGTAAGTCATTGTTACTATAACAGCATCAGTTTATTTGTCTTGGAAGAATGAACACCTAGCATTATTCAGCAGTTTCAGCAACCTGACAGGTTACACATTGTGCTGTCTATGAGGCATTTTAAGATGATAGACTGTAGCATAGAATCATTTTCTCGCTGGATTTTCTAGGTCAGTGGCCTCATTTTTTTCCTAATTTAGTAGTTATGTTTAGTTAAGACTTACACAGAGATTGTGAAAAGGACACACCAAAAACACCCTACACGGCGCCACAAGAGACACCGCGGGAAAACAAAACCCTCTCTCATTAGGTTTTAAAACATGTTTCTCTAATGTATTTGGAGTGGTGAAACAACTTCTACTGAAGACTGCCGAAGATTTTGACCTACTCTTCAAAAATTGGTGTATTTGTTTTCTTTTCCAGCTTACTTTTGCCTCCATCTATATACTAGTTACTTACAAAATGAGTCATTAATAGATTCCTTGCTTTAGGTACTGGACTCTCACAGTGGATGTGGGATGCATTGGTACAGATTGATACATAGCATGAAAATTAAGATTCTAGATTGAATTTCATTTTGCCTTTAACTCCACAGATAACAGCTAAAATTAGAAGGCTGTCTTCTGTGGCATTTACATTTTTTATTTTTGTTGTGTTTTAGGCACTCAAGGAGTCACTCCTGGTCCTGTAATCGGGCTCCAGGCACCATCTACTGGTCTTCTGGGTGCACGACCTGGCCTCATCCCACTCCAGCGCCCTCCAGGAATGCCTCCACCTCATTTACAGAGATTCCCTCTGATGCCACCCCGCCCCATGCCACCGCACATGATGCACAGAGGTCCACCACCAGGACCAGGGGGCTTTGCAATGCCTCCACCACATGGAATGAAAGGGCCCTTCCCACCACATGGCCCTTTTGTTAGGCCTGGTGGAATGCCAGGGTTGGGGGGCCCGGGGCCAGGCCCAGGGGGTCCCGAAGACAGAGATGGAAGACAGCAACAATCGCAGCCACAGCCACAGCAGCCACCTCCACCACAGCCACAGCCGCAGCAGCCACCACCATCACAGCAACCACCACCAGCCCAGCAGCAGCCACAGCAGTTTAGAAATGATAGCAGGCAGCAGTTCAATTCAGGTAGAGACCAAGAAAGGTTTGGAAGAAGATCTTTCGGAAATAGGGTGGAAAATGACCGGGAACGGTATGGGAACCGTAATGATGATAGAGATAATAGTAATCGTGAAAGGAGAGAGTGGGGAAGAAGGAGCCCTGACCGGGACAGGCACAGAGACTTGGAAGAGAGAAATAGACGCTCTAGTGGGCATCGAGACAGAGAGAGAGATTCTAGAGATAGAGAGTCTCGTAGAGAGAAGGAAGAAAACCGAGGAAAGGAAAAGCCTGAGGTGACAGACAGGGCAGGTGGTAACAAAACCGTTGAACCTCCCATTAGCCAAGTTGGAAATGTAGACACTGTTTCAGAACTCGCTAAGGGGGAGGCCGAGGCCACAGTGGTGAAACCTTCCGAAGAGTTACCTGCTGAGGCTACCTCATCCGTTGAACCCGAAAAGGATTCTGGCTCAGCAGCAGAGGCTCCTCGTTAGAGACTGGAATTTGTCCCAATGTGACAGTGACACTTCTGGAGTGTAGAGCTTGAGGTGTACAGATGCTGTATTATATTTGCTCCTGCTATATCACAGCCCCGCAGTAGTTGGTGGGGAATTGTAAAGCAATTTGATTGCTTCCCTTCTATTTAAAAATAGCCACAAAATAACAAAAAATACTGAAGATATGAATAAATATTACCCTTTTTGCTGTAACTTTTTAAAAGTTTTGACTTTAAAAAGTTTACAAATCGTAATTAGAAGTGCTCTCTATTTTTTTTTTTTTTTAATTTAAGACAAGGTAACGGTGAAAGCTCCTCAAAACAATAGGGATGTTTTTAATAAACTCTATTTTCGTAACAAACTTTAATGTGTGCTATTCTTCCTACACTGCATTAAGGTAGAAAAGGATTGTTCACCATCAAAGTTTGAGCTCTTATGTATTGGAGTCTAAATTAGACTTGTTTGATGGAAATACAATTTTATGTAGTTACTCTCAAACACTATCATTTGTAATTTTTTTGATTTTTAGCATTTTAATCATAAGTTTAGCGGTTTGTTATTTGAAAAACTTGTGTTTGCAGTTCAATCAAGGTTTTTGGTTTTTTTTCCATTGGCTTTGTGGTAATGTCCTAATTAATTTGTAAAAACATTTTATTTGGGGAGAAATTGATTCCCAAATCATAAAATTGTACCATAAAATTATCTGTTTACCTTGGATATTACTTAGGTTTTTTTTTTAATCATCCCATTAAATTTTTCCAAAAAGGTAAAATGAAATCAAGGTTAACATTTGCAACCTGAAAGCTTTTGTCTTATTTTATATAAGGACTTAAATGCAACCTATTGTTTCTTATAAGCCTTGCCTGTTGCCTTTCTTTACTGTTTTAATTTCCCTGTTGCTCAAACGTTAGACTGAATTTTTTGCCACATAGTGTTTTATCTCTTTTGCTTATAACTGTTGGGCTAACTGGGAAAATGAATTTAAGTTATTCAAGAAGTATCACTTGAAAATATTTGAAACCAAAACAAGCCTTCATAAGAAGTACACAAAAGCAGTAACATGAAACTGCTTACCCAGTCCTCCTGAATTCTTATACTCTCCTAGTTTCCTAGTGCTGAGTAGGTGACTTTGTTTATCTGCATCCTCAGTGAAACTACATTATTTTACTACTTCTCAGATCTGTATTGATAAGGATAATGTATTTAGGACAGCCTTCTGCCCCTGCCTTTGGAAAAATCCATTTCATATCTGTAAACTTCAATTACAAAACTTTTCTTTAGTTTTGTGTTGCTCCAACTTAGGAAGTTTTGAAGCACTAACTGAAACTCCTTCCAGATTTCAAGGACTTCAGTGTTCCTGATTCCAGTTTAAGCTTCTACTTCCAGTTCAAAGTAGTTTAGACACCACCCCATTTGAACATTAAAACAAAAGCAAAAATACTTGACCTTTTGTAGTATGACTGCACTGTCCCTGTATCTGAGTCATCCCACGGGAGCAACAAACTACATTAACAAAATCTGGAAATACTGTTTAAAATTCTCTTATCTGAAGGCTATCTAACCACTTAATGAGCATATTCTTTATCTCAAATCTGAACTTTGGAAACAGTAATTTTTTTCAAATTTAGCTGTTCCAAATGACCTCTTACATTTCATAAAGTACATATTTATGGTAGAGAAACCAGGTATAAACTACAATCCTATCAGAAATCTTTATACAATTCTTAACTGTCATCCAGATAGTCACGAACCTTAGATAAAACACATTCTTTCACAGGTACATACATACTTACATCAAAGGAAGAGAACTGATTTCTCTAATTCACTCAATTGCAACTTGGGTAAATTAAGTAAATTCTTAAAGACTGTTTTAACAGCCAGAACAAATATTTCCCTGGTTCTACCTGCTAGTACTGTAGTATCATGAGAGGGCCAATCTGAAGAAAACAGATTGTGCCAACTTCCACTTTGTAAAGTTAAATCATTCTGACAGGTCAATTAATCTTAGCTAACTAGGTGTAATTAGCCTTTTACAAGTCACTAAAAATTATGAAAGGGCTTTCTTAAACCATACTACATGCTTTTGAAAAATAAACTTAAGTAATTTATAAATCAAAATGCTAAGTCACTAAGCAGGGAAATTCCCCTAAAGCTGACAAAGGACAAATTTGGGTTGCCATAGCTAAAAAGAGAGCTGCTAAAATTTTTAGATTTTGATGCCCTCTCTCAAAACGTTTTGAAAGTGCTATGAAATCATTAGTATTACTACATCTGTTCAATTCATGTTCTATGTATAGAAGAGTATCAGAGCTTAATTTAGAATTTTGATTTGGATACTTTAATAGGCTCAAAATAAATGTCATCCTTACATAGGGTGTTTATTCACAGGCTTGAATGAGAATTGAAGAAACTCAGTTTAATACCCACATGTGATAAGTGGTAAAATATGGAGATTGTTAAAACATCTTAATTGAATGAATTTATAAAACTATACAATATTTCCAAGTAATCGTAAATCATTCTCATTACAACACTTAAAGCAATTAAAAAGAAGTCACACAATTACACTTTTAAGATTACAATGTTTAATGTTTATCAAGTTAAATTTCTACAGCTAGCAGGATAACAGATGAGTTACTGGGACTCAGACAACATGGAAGGGAATGTTTACTGCGCGATCCCAATTACACCACAAGCCAGACGACTTCCAGCATTTCCTGTCTTTGTACTTTCTTCATTTCCACCTTTGCCCAAGTCATCTGGTTTTTCATGGACCTTTAAAAAAATTTAAGAACATTTAACTTTGGGCTATATCAAGTAATATAGAATCTCTTCCCAACAATGCTCTAAAAGACTTCTAAAAATCATTTAATATTAGAAAACAACATGTTAAAATAATCCAACTATCAAAAAAAACCCACAAAAACTAACATTTATGCTAGGAGTTTCAAAGTAGAAACTACTAAAAAGTTTTTTCTTGTTGGTGCAAAGACAAGTTACCTTTAAACACTAGGTAAGTGTTGCTATTTCAGAAATACTGAAAACCCAAATGCCACATGGTCTTCATTCTCCATGAAAAAACAGTAACCTTAGTTATAGTAAACCAACCAAAAATCTCATGCCTAATGAACTGTAAACCTATAAATAAGAAAGAATCCTAAAACTATTTAGCAATGGTATTTTAAATTTTGTACATTAAATGATTTTTCTGCTTCACCAATAGGGCTGAAGAAAATTCTAAGGATAAAGGGTCCACTGAAAGGAAGTGCCTACTGAATGTTAACTGCCCTGACGGGGCAAGAGAGCCTTTCCTACCAGGTGGTGTGCATGAAGCAGATGCAGCTTCCAGGGTAACTTGGGAGGACCGCTCCATATGGCAGCCTACACACGTTTGACTCATTATGAATACTCAAGTCCATCCCAGATTTTAGATTCAACAAAATACTCTATTTACCTACAAGGGGAAACAATCATGGCAATAAAATATGGCTGCTTTAAAACTAAAAACTACTATCTCCCCAATTTGATCTGATACGGCCAAATACAACCTGCTTTTTACTGCACCTTAGCAGAACAGTGTTCTTAACTGACCTAGATACATTAATTCATCTTCACTGTAGACACTGAATAAAATACTTTTCCTAATCTGAACTAAAAGTACAATTTATGTGAATATTTAAAAACCAAGACTAACCACTGAGAAAATGGTGAAAAGATACATGACTATATGTTAGAAAAAATCCTATGCATATCCTTTTTATATGAAAACTTACCACCATTGTGCGGCCAATGATGGAATGCTGTCCTGAGAGTGAGATCAGAGAATCTTCAATGGACACATTGGCCACACCATCTTTGTCAGCAATCACATTGCCCAGGTCTCCGACGTGCCTGGCATTGAAAAATTATCAGATGGATTAGCACTGATTTTCACTTAACATCAGAGGATTCATGTACTAAATTAAAACATGACTGAGTCAAATATATAAGGCAGACTAAGAGGTATGTATCAAAAAAGATCACCTTTCCAGATTGAAAAAATTCTGAAAACATAAATTTAAAAGCAAGCTGAGAAGGAGTCCTGGGATGGGGGCAACCTCTAATTTCAGAGATAAAGTACCACATAGTAAACTCAGCTACTGAGTTATCCCTCTCAGTTAATGGAACAATTAAGAAAGGCCCCTAGGCGTTCTGTTATAAAAATAAATTAATCTTGTCCTTAAAACTTAATAATCTGAAAGGTCTTCAGAAGACACACACATACAAATGGGGGTCTCAGCTAGTTTCCAGCATGACATTTTTATCTACAGAAGCTTCCTAGGTAGACACTGATGCTTTCCTCTTCTAGTGGCCAACAATACTGTTATTCTTGACATTTCCTGTATTAGTTCCCTTTGGCACTTGTATTAGTTCTATATTCAATAAATGCTACAAAACCTAATTGTTTTAAGTGTTCCCATTTGTCACCGCCTTAGCCCAAGTAATAAGCCATTTCAGCATAAGGGGTGGGGAAGCTATGTGGAAGACAACAAATTCAAAAGCACAGGGGACAACACTCAATCATCTTGCTTGGTTTTGCAAGCAGTGCACACTATCAACGCCACAAAACATCACAATTACTTCAGAGGAGCTCAGCATCTTGCAGCTCACCTTTCTTCATCTGTTGGCCCACCATGTTTTTTGGATTGAGGATTAAAGTGAGGACCTGCACTTGTACAGCCTATTTATAAAAGAAAAAAAAAGGGGGGAGGTCAGCTAGTTTATCAATCAAAATTCCAAAATAAATTCTAAAAAGAAAATGATCATTGCCAAAACTTCCGATAGAGAAAGCACTGGTCTGCGTCATGATTTCTGGGATAATAAAAACAGGAAGCAACAGCTTGGTATGAACACAATGGACTGGGATTCTAACTACTGACACTAGTCAAATTAATATCCTTCTCTGGGTGTTGGCTTCTTCACAATGGAATGGTAGGCCAGACAACTTCAACGGGTCTTCTAGGAGTTAAAATCTCATGTTTATGATCCTAGTTCTAAGAAGATAGCATGTCTAATTCCAAAAAATTTATCTCTTAAGCAACATATATCAAAAGGCTCTCCTGGTTTGTCTGAGGCTTTTACCTGGTATAGGCAGAATATTAAATAGCACCTTTGTGCCACACCCAGATGTGGCATTCCTGTACACCAGAGATGTCATTCACAAAGAACACAGCCATGACAGCCCAGGAGGCCCTTTCATGATAAGCTTTCTCTATTCAACAACCAAAGGAAAGCTTCCATTGTTTATAGCTTCTACCCAGGCAGGCCCCAGGGAGTACCACAAAGAAGAAGACAGCAGGTTACTGGAAGTAGTTTACCAAGTCAAAGCTACACACCGATCACTTCCCAAACCAGAGGAAGAAACAAGTTGGGAATTTTAGTCATTATTGAAACCAGTAAAATCTGGTCACTAAAATAACTATTTGGAAACAAACCATGGTACATTAAAAACAAGTTCCAGCAAAATCAATCAAGTACTCATCCCAAATCTATAAACATGATTGAAGTTCAGATTATAACCCAAATATGGCAAATGATCACCAAATGCAATTTAATCTGTAATCTTTCATTAATTTGCTTCTAATCCCAAATTGAGAAAATGAAACTCATTCCAAAGCACAAGGTCTACATACTATCTTGAGTTTGTAATCATGTCCCAACAGGGATCTCAAGTTGGGTGTGAAGCTGTTCCAGGGGGTAATGCAAACAAATCAAGTGCTGTGCAGGAAGCTCCCATCTCAGCTCACAAACACCTGAGATCATTACCCAATACAAGAAAGGAGCTTTTACTTGTTTCCTATTGTGTTCTTCAAAAATACAAGATAAGGCCAGGGGCAGTGCTCCGGAGGCTGAGACAGAAAGGTCAAAGCCAGCCTTGGCAAAAGCAAGGGACTAAGCAACTCAGTGGGACCCTGTCTCTAAATAAAATACAAAATAGGGCTGGGGAGGTGGCTCAGGGGTCAAGTGCCCCTGAGTTCAATCTCCAGGACGTACCCGCCCCCGCAAAAAGCACAAACTCTACAAAATCATGAACTCCTTCCTCTCTCCTTCCCACACGTAAGTAGTCAAATACCAGTTTTGTGGCTAATTTCCTTAAGGCTGGCCTTAATAATAATTTTATTTTAACTTGACCGTCAAAAAAAAGTTGAAGGTTTTTATCACTGAAGGGTTACTCAGTCCTATTTGCCTTCCTAGCTCGAAAAGTTATGGTCAGTGGAGCACTGCAAAACTTACCTTGTGTGTTATCGCCAAACTGATGGACGTGGAATCCGTGCTGGCCTTCAGCCAATCCTGTAATGCGTCCCGATACCACAACTTTATTTGCCTTTATTCAAAGAAAAGTGCATTAAGTTTGAGAATACAAATATTTTTGAACAAAGACTTACTTACAGTTGACTTAC